ATAAAATTGTTCAAGCACATTTTAATATGCTTTGATTCAATAGATAACAGTAATAGTAGGCTCCAGTACAGAACAAAGTCATTAACAAAACCAAACGGAGCATAATGTGCTTGACAGTTTGTATTACTTTTCTGAACACATTGTTTCTTTTAAACACAGATAAATCAATCATTTCTTTCAATAAATGTTTGACACATAAAAAATACACTGAGCAAAATGTACTTAAATGTGTATATTACTGTTTATACTAGATTATTTACTGTAAAGGCTGAGATTAATCAACCAGTCTTATCTTTAATGAACTTTTGGCACTTGAAAATAAAACAGTGAGCTGAGCAAAATGTTCTTAAAAGTGTGTTACTTTTTCTGTACTAATTATTTCCTGTCTTAATATCAGTAAACTTTTCACTCATGAAAAAAATGTGAGCAAAATGTAGGCTATAAACAAGTAATGAATGAAGTTATAACTCCTTAAAGTGGAGAGGTCCTGGCGACCCACTGAGAGGCTTTGGCACCCCCTTGTGGGGGTCGGGACCCCCAGGTTAGGAACCACTGCTCCATGCCTTTATCTCCTCCCGGCTAGATTACTGTAACACACCCTTCATGTTTTAGCAGAAAAGCCCTTGACTGCCTTCAGTTGGACCAGAACTCTGCAGCGAGGCTCCTGACTGGAGCAAACAGAAGAGCACATATCACTCCTATTCTGCGTCTCTGCACTGGTTACCCGTTAACTTTAGAGTTAATTTTAGAGTCCTGATTACAACTTTCAGGGCTCTACATGATCAAGCTCCTCCCTATATTATTGAACTGTTAAAGCCTTATGCTCCAACCCGAGCCCTCCGGTCAACACACCAGAACCTTCTAGAAGTTCCAGAGACCAGATATAAAAGTCGAGGCGACTGCTCCTTCCAGACTGTTGCACCCCGACTTTGAAATGATCTCCCTTTATCCTTACACAGCATTGACAGTCTGGACATAAAAAAAAAAAAATGCTAAAGACCCTTTTATTTTAAGCTGCTTTGACCAAAATCTTTTATTTTCTCATTTTTAACTCAAATTTCACAGCTCAGTGTTGGAAAACATCACACCGACTCAGGCTTTCTGAGAAACAGTTTCATTTATTTCTGTTTCTTTTTCGTTTGACCCTGAAAGCGATAGAGGGCTGGGATGTGGATAACATGGGGTCAAGAAAACACGTCAGACTCACGACTGGAAGGAAAACATCTCACCTGATTTGAAAAATAAGATTGCACGGTCTTTCCCGTGTTATTTAATGCAGTTTCTGCTCATCTGGTTCACATCAGACCAAGGATTTAAACACCATCTTTCTTAGCAAAAAGGTCACTATCTACTATTCTCACGCCTTTTGGGGTAAAACAAAGAAAAAAAGGTCATGATGTTTGCTTCAGACTCTAACCACAAAATTAGCTTATTGTTTTTTTCTGCCTTATTTGTTGCTTTTTGTATCTTTTGAAGAAAAATAAAAAAGATGATTCATATTTTGAAATTTTTAATGATTTTGGGCAAAAGTATTCGTATTGTCACATATACGTTAGAAATAAATTGGACTGAAGAGTGCATGAAAATGGGTCATTTCATTAAAAACATTTAGGTGAATCAGGGTTTCCTCCAGTGCTTTATAATCCTGGTGGCCCGCCAGGCTTTGCTTGGCCACCCGCCAGGCTAAGCGTCATGCCCCGCCCCCTCCCCGACCCTACCGTGTCCGCTGACATGAATGGCGCAACGAAACTAGAGCCCTCCATCAGCTGATACTGGTGAGAAACAGCAGCGGTACGTGTGCCCCCCCCATCCCCACCCCCGCTCTCACGGAGGAGCGCTGCGGGCGCGCGACCCCCACCCCCCAGCCAAAGCCGCCAGGCTTAACTCATTTTCTGGGGGAAACCCTGGTGAATAATAAAGGAATTTCCCACCTATAGGCCACTGATGGTACTGCATTCCCGTCTGACTTTAGAACACTAGCAGACGTTCTAAGCTATGACAAAATTTTTCTTCTAACAGTTTAGGGATTTTAAAAACGTTGATAACATATTTCTAACTAAACCACTGAAATACGCATGCTGAACATTTCGATGCAAAAGACCACCTTCAGCCTGGTCTAAATTTTCGCCACTGATTACAATTTCCTTTTATCCATTTATTTTTTACAGTTTCAAAACTATTTAACTGTAACACTTTCAAGATATGTGTAGAAACTATCCATCCATCCATCCATCCATCCATCCATCCATCCATCCATCCATCCATCCATCCATCCACCCACCCACCCACTTATCTGGAGTCGAGTCACTGGGCCAGCAGCTTAAGCAGAGAGGCCCTGACTTCCCTCTCCCCAGCCACTTGGGCCAGCTCTTCCGGGGGGATCCCAAGGCATTCCCCGGCCTGGTGAGAGATATAGTCCCTCCAACGTGTCTTGGGTCTCCCTTTAGGTCTCCTCCCGGTTGGACTTGCCCGGAAAACCTCACCAGGGAGTCGTCCAGGAGGCATCCTGACCAGATGCCCAAGCCACCTCAACTGGCTCCTCTCGATGTGGAGGAGCAGCCAATCTATGCCGAGCTCCTCTCGGATGCCTGAGCTTCTCACCCTATCTCTAAGGGAGAGCCCAGTCACCCCGCGGGGGAAACTAATTTCGGCCGCTTGTATCCATGACCCCAGTCTTTCCGACTGATAAATCGAGAGCCTTGCTTTCCGGCTCAGCTCCTTCTTCACCACAACAGACCGGTTCAGCATTCGCATCCCTGCAGATGCTGCTCCAATCTGCCTGTCGATCTCCCGCTCCCTCCATCCCTCACTCGTGAACAAGACCCAGAGATACTTGAACTCCTCCCCTTGAGGCAGGACCTCTCCCCCGACCCGGAGTTGGCAAGCTGTCCTTTTCTGGTCGAGAACCATGGTCTCAGACTTGGAGGTGCTGATCCTCATCCCAACCGCTTCACACTCGGCCGCGAACCTCCCCAGCAAGAGCTGTAGATCAGAGCTTGATGAATCTAGGAGGACCACATCACCCACAAAGCAGAGATGAGATTCTCCTGCCACCAAACTCAGCGTCTCTTTCGTGGAAATGATGAATAAAATAGTCAAAATAAAGAAAACATGTTCAGAATCGTTCATTTGGCACAAATGAACAAAACACCTAACGGGGAGTGTAAGCGTCACATGACGTCTGCAAAACATAGTGCACAGCTATTGGCTGACCTTTGCATAGATGGGTGCGTGGTGCGTTTCCACTGGACACGGAGCTTTGCATGGGTGTGTCCCAAAAACATGATGCGTTGCTCCACCAAAGTTATGCTTCCAGTCTAGTTTTTACGCGTTACGCGTTGCGCTTCAACGCGTGGAGCTCAGCTGTTTGGATCAAGCCAGACAGGAAGTCGAACATGGAAACTGTACAACGTCTGAACACCTTCAAAATAAAGTCATGCCAGGTTTTCAGTTGCTTAACTAGTAAAATAAAAGTATGTCACCGTGATCTCCGTAGCCGAGGCAAATCGGACCTTTTTGGATGCATGCCGCCATTTTTCTTCTTGCTTGTTTTCTTATGAACTCGCGTGACTCTCAACTCTCTGTTGACTTTATGACCTTGCAGCACGAGCTGTGTGGGACGCTTTTTCCGCCCTTTTATCCACAAGCTCAGCGCCGTTGACGCATGGAAAGGCCAGCTTAAGTCCATGTTAACCTTTTAACTCCCTCACCAAGAAAAAGCATTGAAGACGTTCCACTTTTTCATTTTTTGACGTGGGGCAATAAGTGATCTAGTTTAATTTTAATAATATACTAATTGTAATAATAAGGTAATAATGCAATGTAATAGTTACGCTTTTTCCTCAAACAACTCCGTATTCTCTAGAATTTTCTTGTTTTACTATTTTTTATGGACCTAAGAAACACTCTACTAATTTGTTAACAGTTATGTAACATTCAACATCATTAAATGCTAATTGGAACCATCCGCCCTGTCGGTGCGTCGGCTGCTGCTGTGGATCTGCTGCTGTCGGGGCGGATCCTTATCTTAGCTGGTTTGGCTCATCTGATCTCAGCCCAGTGTGTTTTTTCCATGGAAGGGTGTGTGTGTGCGTGCGTGCGTGTGTGCCGGAGGATGAGTGTTGTGAAGGGGTTTTTATTGTCAGAGTGTTTTTAAAATTCTATGGATGGGAGGGAATGCGGGGCCTTTTTAATTTGCGAAGCACTTTGAGTTGCATGTATTGCTTGATTAAGTGCTATATAAACAAAGTTTGATTGATCTAATCAAAACCTATTATTGCTATGCAGCCATTTTAAAATTTTATCCCAAGATGAGTGAAAATTCTGTCCACATTTATAAATTCTGCTCCCACAACTCCAGCAGCTGCTGTGTTTAGGTTGGAATAAGTTGCAGAACCAAAAGGACAAAACCAAACAAGAAACCTTCTCTTAGAATTTCACTATTTTGACCAACAAAGTAATTTTTATTTGCTTATTTTTAAGTTGGTTTTTTTTTTTGTATTTGTGTAAACTTTCTGCATTCGTCTCTCCTCAACACTCGTAGAAAAGGAGCATTTAGAGCGGGAATGTGTCTCCTCACCTCGTATCCCAAATATAGAAAGTTTGTCTGTTTTGGGGTTTCAAACCAGAGAAAAGAGAAGCAGCAGAACGCTGGAGCTCCTGCAGCTCTTTGTGTGCAAATTCCATTTTAACTCCTTTCTTCCAGGTTTTCGGCTGTATCCATCAGTTCACCAAACTACATCCCTTCATTCTGACTCTGTCCGTATTTACAATTACAGCTTTTGTAAGTTTGTGTTTCTTCTTATTTATTATAGAGATAAATAAAAGTAGCAGCAGCCTGACTGACCCACATCTGCGCTGAACCTCACCAGTGCTCTTGATCTGTAACCGTGATGAAAATATGAAACTAATCTGATTTAAAGTACTTTTCCCAACAAATTTTGAGGAGACAGGCTGATTCTCCTCAGACAGGACTGACAGCATGTCTTCACATCTGGCAGGTGTTTGGATCAAACCCAGCCGAACATCACGGATGAGGGAGAAAAGAGCCGACTTTGTGGCTGGATGCCTGGGAGGAAGGGTGATCGTAGCCGGTGGTCTGGGTGAGCACCTCCCATCTTTATCCTCTCTCTCATCACGCTTTTCTCTCTGTTAAACACATCTGACCTGACAAGAGATGCAAAGATGTCATCTTGACCAAGTTCTGTGTTAGATTATTATGTTTCTGTTTTATGTCACATCAGTTTAGGGACATCGTGTCCTCTAGGGGCCCAGCATCCCCCTGAAAAGAAAGAAAGAAAACGATATTTTCTACAGCGCCTCAAGATAAAAATCACGAGGCGCTTCACCAAAACAAAACATTTAAAATATATAAATGATTTTATAAAATTATGATAAATATGTTTTAAAGGGACTTTACGGAATTTTGAATTTTTATGCTCGCGATTGCCCCCTCAGGCCAAAAGCGTAACGACAGCTTCAATAGTAGGCTCGTGCATGAGGCGCGCATGCTGTATGTGCACACTCCTTAACAAAAATAACGGCTGAGACAGTCCCATGTGTGTGTGTGTGTGTGGCCCGGAGGACAGAGGACAGGAGAACATGCAGCTAATTAATTAAATAATGTGGTTCTGTACCTTTCTCTTCAGCACAACCGACCAAGGTTTATGATGGGTCAGTCCTCCTGCATGCTCAGATCATTCCCCTTCCCTTGCTTGAAAAATTGTTCCAAACTGAAAGTTGAACACACATCTTTTTTATCTGTGAATTCAATGCCGTTCGGAGAGTCTCAAATAAAAATTTGGGCATCTTACTGTAAAAAAATATACCATTAATGTAAAAAAAGAAACTCTAAATAAATTATGTTCACATCCAGAATCAAACCCAGGTCTTCTGCAAGTGAGTCAGACATCTTACAAGGTGAGCTACACTCTAGTAACATTAATAGTATCTGCAACATTTATATCCCTTTTGACAGCTGAAACAACGTCAATCCAAAGAACGGTTCGGAGCGAAAATGGCTATTTTGTTGCTAATTTGCAGGAAATATCTAGAAGAAAGTTCTACAGAAAGTAGCTAAGGGTCCTCAGAAATGTAGCTAGCTTTGTCACTAGGCGTTAGGAACAGCGACAAAGTCGCTGAGTTGGCACTACCTCTCTCTCTGCTGCTAAAGCTATGGATAGCAAATGCTACGAGCTATGCCTGAGCGTGAACATGCATGAAGCAGCCTGCTCGACCCGAGTATCTCTTTTTCTATGATTTTACAGAAAAACAGGCAATCACAGTAAAAATGCCAGGGCTCATTCTACAGGACCAAGGCATTGCAGGAGGATGTATGAAGAAGACATTTATTATTTCTATACATGTTTTGGCTGTCAAACTTCCATAATGCCCCTTTAAGTAAGCAAAAATAGATTATTGTGATTTAAAAATGCTAAGAAAGAGAGAGAGAGTGAATAGGAAAGGGGGAAATCAGTGCATCCTGGGGAAGGCGGAATTGGTGAGGAGAGGGTGGTGATGAAGTTCACACCAACGCCTGAACAGGTGAGTTTAAAGGAGACCACTGAGTTCACTGATCTCAGGCTCAGGGAGAGAGGTCTAGAGTCTGGGGGCCACAGCAGCAGATGATCTGTCACCTTTGACATTTAGTCTGGTGCTGCACAACCAGTAGGCTGTTATTTAAGGAGACAGGATTTTTTGTATCATGCTATTTAACATCTTCCAGATGAACGGGCACAATATAGGATAAAATATTACTTTGAGATAACATTTTTTATGAAATGTAATTTAAATTTTGTGACCCATTACTTCAACCCTGAAATAAGATGCTAAGATCCAATAAAGCCCCACCCCAGTGTGATTATCACAATAGTACACAGCTGCAGACCCGGAGATTGCAGATTCAGGCTGTTGTGTCTCATGCATGCAGGGACCCTTAAAAAAGCAGAGGGTGTGCGCATTTAAACAGGTAATTATAGAACTGGTCACTGCTTTGGATTTTCTTAGATTATCCATCGATCCGCTGAAAAGCAAACCAGGTAGAAAACTTCCTCTTGTCTGGATTTTCTTGATAACAAAATAAAATGATTTTTGTGCCACAGCACGCTGACTTGCTCTGAACCAGTCCCTTACTTCTAGTCAGTCTGTCAATTCTGCGTTAGTTAAGCATGACGGCGACAGTTCGCCACACCAGCCTGTTTCATAACACCGTTAACGCAGTCGGTCTCCTACAGCAGGCCATGAAACGTGGAACAGACAGTTAGATTAAAATTTAAGTTGATCAGCGATAAAGGCGTTTTTTACCGGTGAAGGAAGTTGCATTACTCAATAATGTTCTTTTATTGGTGGCTTTTGAGAAGATTTCATCCAACAGTCCTCCAGTATTTCAAAATTAAACGTAAATTTTCAATTTGCATCATCATTGATGGGCAACTGATAATTTTTTTTATATTTTCTCCTTTTTTTGCTTTATTTTGAAAACTGCAACTTTACAGTCTCTCAAACCCAATCTGCAGCAACAAAAGACACTTTAAGGTTGTTTGTGAAGACTTGGGAGTTATTTATTTGTGTGGGTGCTGAAATCAACAGGAAGAAAGGATGAGGAAAAGTTAAACAAAAGACAAAACGGAGAACTGAGTGGCTGAAATGAGGAAAAGTGGCAGAAAAAAATAATAAGGAAGATTTGAACTCTAGTGAAGAAGATTAGAAGATGTTTTTTCTGTAACAGCCGGATGAGGCTTAGTGGTGATCGGATAATCCAGAAACATAAAAAATATTATTCTGATGTAAAAACCAAGAGTTGCCAGAGAAATGTTGGGCTGAGAACTAAACGTGAGTCAAGGAGGTCAAACGACGGAGGAGCAGCCGGTAAAGTGATGTGACGTCTGTGAGTCGAGAATCAAAGCAACATCAGGAAGCCTTTGAGCGTCCAGCGGCAAGATGTCTCTTTGTGTGTGTGTATGTGTGCGTCCTCTAGGGAGTGTGTCTCCATAAAAAATAATAAAGGAGATGAGGGTTGAGCGAGCCAAGAACACTTAGAAAAGACCGATGTTGCGCTGCCACTGTGTTCTTCCAACACAACGATGATTAGAGTCTTCCTTTGACAGACAGATGCACACGCTCACCGGTCCATATAATTTGGGGACTTGCTGTGATGCGGGTCTCCATGGAAACGGCCATAACTTAGGTCTGCTTGATGTATAATAACAGTGCGTTGCACCTGAGGTGAAAGATAAGAGGGTGAAGAGGAAAAGATGGCGAAGCAGGTCCTGCAAAGAGGATCAGTTATATTTAACCTTTTGCACAAAAAATGAAAGTGAAAAAGTGAAATGATCTATGTTTTATGGATTTTGTAGTTTTATGGAAGGCATACTGGTTTAAAGGTGTGGTTAACTGAAAAGCCATCCCTTATGATTATTTCTGATTCAAACGGGTCACTCTGAGTTTTTCATGCAGGCTGAACATGAAGACAGTCTCCTACACCTATCTCCTGCTTTAGCTTCTGATAGTAAACAGACGGTGAAGCTCTAGGATTAGAAAATCCTGACAGATCTACGTCACACTGTCACTAACATTCATGGACTCACCCATCTGGACTCACGACGGGGAAGGCTGATGTTGGTTTAGCGTCCAGGAAACAGCAGAGAACATCTCTGCAAGTAGGAGCTAACCATTAGTATTAGCAACTCAACCACACACTCTTCCAGACTTGTCTTAGTTGTGGAGAAATAAATAAAACATCAATGTTAAAGAACAGAGTCAGTGGTAGAGTCGTGTTGCTTTTAGCGAGATGTCCAAATATCAGGATATTAAACTCCAAGTCGTGCCATCTGAAGCTCAGCTCTGATGTGGCTCATTTCCTGAAATGGGTGCACCGGAGTGTGTTTTCTCCAGAGTACGGCTTCTAAGGCATTCACTCCTGCTAGAGACCACTGAAAATGTATTGACTACACGAGTGTTCCACACCTTATATATATATATATATATATATATATATATATATATATATATATATATATATATATATATATATATATATATATATATATATATATATATATATATATATATATATATATATATATATATGTATATATATATATGTATATATATATATATATATATATGTATGTATGTATAGGTGTGTGTATATATATATAAATATGTATGTATATATATATGTGTGTGTGTGTGTGTGTGTGTATATATATTAGAGGTGGGAAAAATGATCGATTCTAAGATGCATCGCGATTCAGCCGTGCATGATTCCGCATCAATGCAGCAACGTGACATAATGAGATTTTCTCCCTATGTCTATGTCGAGGGTCGGCAACCCGCGGCTCTTGCATCCATCTGATGCGGCTCTCTGTGCTTGTAAAATAATGAATGGATATTTAAATAAAATGCTTTATATTTTACTGCATTAATTTTACATCTGTATGCCAATTCTAAATGTAAAGATTGTCTGCGTAAACCTGAACAGTTCCAACCCGGTCTTACTGTGAGACCGGGTTGACGCGTCACGCTTGTGCGTAATCATATCGGTGCATTCTGAGCTGACGAGGATGTGAGATTCTGGGATTCTCCCCAGACAGGCTCTTGGATGTGTCGCCACATTGGAGACAGGAACAAGCACTATTCAGCCAAAGTTTCATAATCAGGGAATATTTTCTTAGTGACAAGTCTCGCTTCAGTCGGAGGAATCTTCCTGCATACGCTCTGGTTCTGCGACGTGCTTCAAGCCCCTCTCCACATCTTCAGCTCGATGTGGACCTTATGTAGTACACACTGACAGTGAGCTGCGCTGAGCAGTGTCCAGCTCAGATGTTCAGATTGGAATCATTTCTTGAGTGATTTAGCTACATCTGCGATGTGCGAAACGAATAAAATGTCAGTTCGTCTGCATGCGTCGGGGTAATTCTTTCTATTCTTTCTCCGTCAAAATAAATAGTCAAATACAGGAACTGTCCGGTCAACACAACACAAGCCCTGCTTTTAACTGTTCTGTTTTCTTGTGAAAATTGTTGCAAAGAGATATAATTTAACTTGATTAACACCAGAGCCAGGCGCACTGCACCGTTGTCTCCGTCACTGTAAATGAGGGAAAAACAAATTGATCGGATCCTTTTCTGACCTTCCCCACCTACAAAGTTTAATTACAACAATCAAACGTGACAGAGCCTGGATTTGTATTCTGAACAGTCTAAACATGTTTTAAAAAGAAACGTATGACAAAAGTGGCACCTGCTCAGTAAAACCACCAACAGGGTGAAAAATATCAAAATATTGTAGGCAGAGACGGGCTACAACTTCTGGTTCCACTTTATATAAATCGTTTTATTGATTATCTTTTTATGAAAGATAACTTTGACGTACACGAGCGACCGGTACTGGCTGCTGTCACCTGTTGTGAGCAGCGCTCTGCTGTCTGAGGGTAGGCCCCGCCCACAACGCCGCGGCTGCTGTGGCTCCCAGTGTTTTCTTTACTGTGGGAAACGGGTAATAATGGCTCTTTGATGGGAACAGGTTGCCGACCCCTGGTCTATGTCTATGCGAGGACAATAAAGTTTTGAGGATTTACAATTACTTCTGGGGGCAGAGTTGCAATGACATGCGCACTGCATTGCCCTAGCGCCAATTTAAAACAGAAAAGGCGGACAGGGATACAGGGCCAACATTACCAGTAATCAAAGATGTACCTGTTACATTTAAATCGGATGTCTGGGCTAATTTCGGTTTTGGGATCCTGGATGTGAAAGAATCACTTAACACAGTATTTGTTTGCTATTTTTATGTTCAGTAAAATTCTGTCTTAAAGCTGCTCTACTGAAAACATTATTTCTTATATTATTTAAGTAATTATAGGCAGCACACTTTAAACATTATTGCTCACTATAGTGAATAGATGAATGTTCTGTTTTTCAGGGATTTCAAAATCAAAAAGAAATTGAAAACTATTCTACTGCTTTTATTAAGTAATGAAAACTTTTGTGTTAAGAATCGTGATGCATTTCAGACTCAAATCGAATCGTTAGGCAGATAATCGGAATCGGATTGAATCGTGAGGCAGGTAGAGATGCACACCACTAATATATATATATATATATATATATATATATATATATATATGTGTGTGTGTGTGTGTGTGTGTTTGTGTGTATATATATATATATATATATATATATATATATATATATATATGTGTGTATGTGTTGTTAAATAATTATCCACTGCGTTCTTCTTGTGAAGTCTTGAACTTTAAAACCTGACGCTGTAGATGTCCTTGCTACACCTCATCAGAAATGGCCATTACCAGTTTCAGAATACACGTTTTCATGGCTTTGTCTCATTTTTTGGCCGGTGAAATTTATAAATCAGCAAGGGTTTTTGCAAATGTATATTTTCACACTATGCTCATAAAAATGCAGGAGGAGGAAAACTATTCTCCTGCATGAAAGGATGAACAATAACTGTCTCGGGAGGGGTAAGGCGGGAGGAACAACCAGCTTGCTGAAAGACAGGAAATTTTTTTAGCTCTGTGTGTAGCTGGGACAAAAGTCTGATGTAAATCACTCCTATTCTGTGCTTTTGGCTTCACTTTCCATCTGAATTAGACCAAGGCGCACCTGCTGTAATCCTAACACCCCTTTCTCCATTTTGCAGGTAATGAGCCGTCGCCTTTGGGCTCAGTGGAGAGCTACAACCCAGTGAAGCGGCGCTGGGAGTACGTGGAGCCCATGCCTACCGCACGCTGCTCTTCTGCTCTGCTGCAGACCACCAGCATGCTGTTTGTCATCGGAGGAGTTGCCCAAGGACCCAGCAACGCTGTGGAGGTCCTCTGCTTACAGGAAACGCTGTGACACACACAGACTAACGCGAACCCTGGAATAAATACGATCTGGCATTGCTATTTAATTCGTGTATCAGTGGAGACTCCAGAACGTGCACACGAACTGGATCCACAGATTGCACTGAAGTACGGTTTTTATCTTGACGCTCAGCAGAAAGATTTCCCTTTTGCGCTGAGACTTTTTTAGCCATTTATCGAGCATTTTCAAATGGGATGTTCAGAGAAATTTAATGACGAAGCCGTTTGAATACAAGATGAAGGACATTCGAGTAGGTTTCTGTGACTTGCAAGGACAAGGAAATCAGAGGAAGAAAGCACAGAGCAAACATAACCGACACAGACTCGGTGTCTGGAGGAACAACTCGGCTTAGAACTGTTGAGCATTTTTCAGAATAAAAGCAGGGTACTTTTCTGGATATTAAAGGAACTTAGGGCCATAATTGAATTTCTTCTCAGCAGCACCGCTCTGCTTTTGCAGCAACGATACGATCGGACACTTTTCTACCACAGGAGAAAATGCCACTTTGGTGGGTTTTGAAAATGTGGATGTCATTAACGGGCCTCTTTTTCCCGATAGGAAACAATCCTCAGCATACAGCCACTCGCTAAAAGTCAACGAGCTGTCGGTTTGAAGTCCGTTCACTTCGTCCCAACAGCAGCAGAGGCGGACCACAGTCACCGCTTCCTTGATTGAGGAAGAATTGACTGCACTTGAGCTTGTCAGCTCTTTGCTTTTGCTACACATCTCTCCATCCGTGCACCGCTGCAATCAATCACTGAGTCCAAACCGCCGCTTGCGCTGTAGCACAGGGAGGACTCCGCTCGTGGAGTGAATGTGAAGTCACCTGCTGCACTGAAGCATCCCGACAAATCAGCTTCCTGCCTCACAGCGCTAGATTCCCCCTGAGTCATAGCAGTGTGCTTTATTATTAACCTCAACATGAAGCCAGGCAGATGATGGATTTACGGTTAAAACACCTGACCTGAATGTGTGTGGAGTTCCTCTTGAATTTAAGACCGAACAGGGCTCTAACACAGGAAATACAGCTGAGTTGCAGGTTTTCACTAACAATCTGCATTGACTTCACTGATTTCCCTAACAAATGCATGTCCCTAAGGAGAAACTAATTAGATGTGGCCACAGACAGAATAATTCTGGTGGCTTATCCAAGTTTTTCTGCTTTAGGAGTTCTGGGAATTTTCTTGCAGAGGGGAACGGTGCAGACGCAGTCCTCTTAGCTTTTGGGCTTCCGTATGAGATCTGCTCTTTCAGGACTCGGCTAAGACGTCAGCTTATCAGGACCGTTTTGTCGATGAGTGATGTCACTTAATGACAAAAGTTTTATTCTGTCAAAGTACGCCGCAATGTTATTCCTTCAGGGATAAATACTCAGGAAAATAAACTAACTCTTCATAACGGTTAATCTTCAGTTTTCAATGATGCCTACAAACAGGTTTAGTTAATTTGAAGTTTGCGATAAGAAACTAAAATTATATCTTAGTTTTCATATGTGATTTGGTCTGATTGGCAGACAACAACCTTAATATGAATCACAAAACATAAAAAAGACTTCTCTGTTTCACCTCCTCCTCTCTAATTACACGATGCATCATCTAGATGCTCTTCGCCGACGTCCAAAGAATGTAAATTCACCAAAAGGCTGAATGAAATCACAGGAAACGCTGAAAAGTTGGAGAATTACAGGAAGAGAAAGCTGCCTCTGGCCTCAAGGGGAAGAAAACGTTCTGCACATGTTAGCGTGCACACACGCACACGCGCACACACACACACGCGCACGCACACACACACACACACACACACACACACACACAAACTGTTTTTACAGGACCACAGCGTTTGCAACACGGGATTCGCCGCGGCTCACTGGGGAGGATTTTGGCATTTATAGTAGCAAAGCTGAAGCTAGAATAAACTGCTATCAGGCACCTCTCAAACCAAGACGTGATAAAGAGAGGTCGCTGCCCCTAGTGAGAGAACATGTATATCTGTGTTTATATAGCTTCCGGCCGGCACTCGGCGTGCAGTATACGTCGCCAACGCAACCACCCTCTTTTGCAGGGGGGCCTCCCACAGTCACTCCAAAGGGATTAGCGGGGCCGTTTAGCCTTCAGAGGTGAGGAACTCATGCGGCAATATTACTACGAGGCTAAGCGCATCAAAATCGAGTTTTTTCACCTTTCCCCTTTGCTCCTCGCCGCATTAACGAGACCCACAAATTGGGATTTATCGCTCAGTAATGACGCGATGGTCTGTCTTATAAAAGAGGCTATTGAAGGCTACAGAAATGTGTTTCTTTGTAGTTTTTGCAAAAGACGTCATTGACCGTTGGCTGTATTTCAGTAATACTCATAGAAAGTAAAAAATTAGGGTTTAATTTTGGTGTCAACCTCAATCAAAGTTAATCCAACTTGTCAAGTACTGTAGGTCGTTCACCTCTACTTCCACGTTTACTTACAGTTAACTTTACACACGTCTCATCAGGTTTTGATAACTCCACTCGTTTAGTGTTGCTGTGCTACTCGCTGTCACATTTAGTGGATTTGTTACATTGACCTCGTTAAAATGAGCTGAAAAAATAATGTTTCATTAACTTTGTTAGGTTGGAAGCAAATCTCAGGTGCTGGTGGGGTTGGCTGCCAGGGGCGTTTAGAAGTGGGGTGACACATCTGGCATGAGGACCGTGGGGGGGTCTTTACAGTACGATCTAAAGGGAAAACGGGCTTCAACACAAACGGTTTTATTTCTGCTTGGCCCTCTTGATTCAGCCAGTGTCTATTTATTATAGCGTAATATTGCTTTAGGACAGTAAAAAGTGCAGAAGTCAAAACTTGACTTTGGAAAAAGTGTGTGTGTGTGTGTGTGTGGGGGGGGGGGGGGGCTGTCCCCCCCGTCCCCCCCAAAAAATTATGTCCATGATCACATGGTAAAAAGCTAAAAACAGTCAATTTTTGATGATATGGAACTTTTCAACTAAAAGGAATAGAAGCACATGCAGATACTTCAGTGTTTTAATATTTCACGGCTGAGGAACTAAAAGTTTTACGCTTTCACTGAAAACTTTGGAACATGAGCAGCATCTCATTCAAATCTGAACATAACGATCTTTCATGCCGTTCACCTGAGATTTGAGCCAGTTCAGGGATGTGGTTGAGCTTTTCTCAGCAAACTCTGGATGCCGTTCAGACATCAGACAGCAGATAGATGCAGAGGGAGCACAGACACCTGCTCTTGCTGCAGAATAAAGCTCCTAAACAACCTCCAGGCTGCACCGGCAGAGTAAGAAGCTCAAACAGACAGAAATTCAGCATCATCTCCATTTTTCTCTCTAAAATTAGGTTAAACGTAAGATAAATCCATGTGTGCATCTTTGATGCACTCACACAGTTCCCCCATGTTTCTATTTTTGTAGGTGTGCACTCAAAATGTATGTGCAACTGTGTCATCGTGTCAGCTCATGGCTGCGTGCTTGTTGTTATGCTTCTGTGTGGGTGTTTAAATGCAAATTCACACCCATCATCATAAGCTGTCTGGAGCTAGAACACCACCTCCTTTGCTGTCCTTCTAGCCTTCACATCCATTTTACGTGTCACGCTGCAGTTGCCATGAACTTCTGGGAGTTTGCCAGAGCTAGCTCTCACTAAAGTCTAGAGTTTTCCTTTAAAACCTTTTCTCTCTTTCCCTCCCTCGCCCTGTCGGCATCAGAGTGTTGCACCAAGGTGATCTCATATAAATCTAGAGTTTGTTTCCAGCTGAAAACACACACAAAGCCTGCCTCCCCATGCGAGGCATGTTTCAGGCTGTTTACCCATCGGGGGGACGTCTCTGCTGCTTCTGACAGCAGGCTGAGGTACAAAACAAAAGAGCAGGATGCTTCAGTGCAGGTAGCAGCTAATTACATGCTGCGTTTCTTTAGCAGGCCGCGAGCGAGTGACGCACGAGCTAATGAAAATGTTTGTGCATGTGTTAAAAAAAACATGGAAGGTCAAAGCGTATTTTGGATTCGTGCACCAGTGTACGACAGCAAGAGCATTAAAGGGACAGTTCAGATCTTTTAAAGTGGGATTCTGGGAAACGTCATTGCCTAGTTACCATATGATTTTATTTACATTAATAGTTTTCCCTGATGACAACATTCCCACAGAAACCCACCAAACCAGATTTGAACTATGACCTCTCCCGTCCCTCCCGGGGGTGTTGCCTTGTGTCTCATCACCTCCCTGACTTTTCAGACATGCCCCCCTCATCCGAGACACATTCAGGGTCCTGTTTCAGTGTAGGCATGCTCTGTGCCTTAACCCCAACAATAAGACCCACAGACTCAGGTTCTGATGAAACAGGGGGTTGATCCTGATGTTTTAACTTTAACTGGACATTTTATAAACCACATGCAGTTTTATTTCCATCTTTTCTGCACTTGGGGTTGTTCCCCAGGCAACGGGAAGCACTGTCGACTCCTGCCGGCAGCATAAATATGTTCCTCTTACATTTGCATAACGTACCCACCTCTCCTCTTTAGTTTAAATGTATTTTTGTGTTGTTTAAGTTCTTAAATGACACTGATGAGGTGATGATTTCCTCATTCTTTATGTTGCCCTCCAGATGTTTGTTACGTGGGTCGAGGCTGTGAGGTGACAGATGTGTTGTGGTGTCATTCAGATCTCAGCTGGGTTCCCCAAAGTGTTTGTTGCTGTAGCTGTGTGTTTTTGCAACACTTTGCAAAAGCGGAAAATATATATTTCTAATATTCACGAATAAAAAGTTATTTCGACTTTATTTGCTCTGATGAGTTGGAGCACGGGTGTGTATTTTAAAGGGGAAGTACTTTGGGGATACCAAGTGTAATGAAAAGGGAAATATGGAACAACAATGTTGTGTTTTATCCATCTTTTGGGGATGAATAAAAAGAATTAAATCGTTAAACAAAAAAATATTTGATAGAGCCATTGCTTTAGGTCAAAGAGGTTTGTACAGACATTTTAGGAAACTGGCACCCTTACTTTCCCTCCTTTTTAAATCCTTTTTCCTGTGCTGTGCAGTTTCCCTGCAGTGATGGTAGAAGCCTGCTTTGTGGTCTCAGTGGATCAGTATTGCCATGTGCTCTGTGTAAAAAAAACAATTGCAGAACTAAACACGCTGAAAAAGAAACCAGATGTTTTTGACTCATGTAGGAGTGTGTGTGTGTGTGTGGTGGGTGGTGGTGGTGGTGGTGGTGGTGGTGGTGGGGGGGGGGGGGGTTAAATCACAATATCCTTGTTAAGTTGTTTTTATTTTATTCCACTGGGATGCCGCCGGTCGCGTAAGCATTGCACAACGTCTACGAAACGTCACACGCGGCTAATATCATACGTTATAGTTGAAGTTTGTTTCCATCAGCCGCCGGGTTGAAGTGTGGTGTTGCGTCGCAGCTGCATGCAACGCTTTCGCTGCAGATTCACATCTGAACCGCTCCTGGTGGGAGTCGTTGTTTTTGTCTTTTAAGTGACGCGCCACTGAGCTTGCAGGACAACCACGTCTGACATGTTACACGCCTCTTATGCAGCCGGTGGAAAGTCCATGAAATAATTACACTTTAGCTTCTCATTACAGTAGAAAGTGTGTGGAATAGGGAGCCTAAATCGTATCGTCTACGGGTCAGCTCATGGCAGTGGCGTGTCCAGATCTTTTTAAATGGGGTGGCCCAGGTGAGGCACAACTTTGTGCATGGGTGGCACCAATGGTTATGCTTTTTATGTTTTACCCCCAAGCCTTTTGTGGACAATGAAAAGCCTATTTGAAGGTAATTAGTGTGGTGACACCTGGGGTGGCCAATCAGATTCCAAGAGTAGCATATGCTACCCCAGGCCACTCCCTGGACACGCCCCTGGCTCACGGGTTGCTGAACGAGGCTATAAAAGCTATTTTCTAATCCGCTTTGTCTTACTCACACATGTAGAACTTCAATCTAAATGAAAAGATAGGATGTGGGTTTCAACTGTCTTTCACAAAATTTTAAATTATCTTGTAAAAATGTGTCACTAAAATGATAACAAATCAGGCCTCGCATACATGACGTCACCGCGTGGCAGCTACTTACCACACGGTCAGATTAACGGTGGTTTCCGCCTTGTTTAATGCTCCTGTCATCCTGGAAGAAAGATTCGAAACTCGCTAAGCTAATGTTCTCTTCTTCTTTGTGTCTTTTGGTGTGTTAATTTGGTGAGACAAACATTTGTAGTCTTACTTTCAGTGTTGGGAGTAATGCGGTACAGAAGTAATTAATTACTGTAATGCATTGCTTTTTGTTGTAATGTGGTAATGTAAGGCATTACAGGGAAAAAAATGGTAATATTTACTCGGTACAATTGTCAGTAACGCAGTAATTACAATGCATTTTAAACCCAGAATCAAGATGCGTTTCTTAAAAATTCAAATTGCGGGAAACCCGGAAAAAGATCCAGTATCTGCATATATTACGTCATTTATGGACTCAGCTTTGCAGGCAGAGAGGACTTAGCAGTACCTGCTCAAATACTCCAGCTGCGTCCTCCACGCGGCCGCTGTAACATTCACAAAATCGCTCCACTAAAACAAAATAATTCACCTGCGATCGTTCATATCAGCGCATGTTCTCTGGTATTTTGTACTTTTCTGACGTGCTTTGCCTCATCTGAGTTAATCTGGGCCCCGGTGATTTTAACTCATTACTGCTGGAGCGCTGCACATGTGAAGATCCCTTTGGCTGACAGTTAGAAAGCAGGAAATCTAGGAAACAGTTTTTTCTGGAAGACAGAGAAAAGATGCAGCATGCAGGAAGGTTAGAGAGAGAAAGGGCCAGAAATTATTCAAATAAAATCAAGAAAACAAAACAAAGTGCTTGAAAAGACAAAAAGTAGGTAGATTTATCCCCAATACACATTTTACCAGTGAAAAGCAATAATATATAAGCATTTAATATTTATACATGTGATAGAATCAGATCACCCAAGAAGCCAGTCCCACATACAGGGCCGTATCAAGGCATTTGGGGCTAAATAGACTTGGAGCCCCCACCACCTCACTCCCTGCTCAGTTAATATAAGATGGCAGCGTGCTGAGAGTACAGTTTGTTGTTTCATTTATTTAATAAACAATCCTTCTAAAGAACAGTTTTTAACAGCAATCCTAGCTCAGACACCACATCACCTTCCACCGGATGTGTCATGAGTTCACCAGGCATCAGATTACCAAACTCATACTGAAGTTGTTTTGTTGAAAGTAACTTAGAGTAATGCAAAAGTAGTATAATGCCTTACATTTTAAAATCAGTAATATTGTAATGTAATGAATTACTTTAAAATGAGGGTAACAAGTAATAAATAATGTATTACAGTTTTGAAGTAACTTGCCCAACACTGCGTGTTTTCACAAAAAATCTAAAATAGCTTTTGCCGTTGTTCACAAATGGGATCAAAATGTCTGCTCTTTAAAATTCACGGACATCCTATTTTAAGTCCATGGCTCATGAAAAATACGGGATTAGAAAATAGCGTTTTTAACCCCGTTGGGTCTGAAGTAGATGGGCACAACTCAGGCCGCTAATATTCAAAGTAATCTCTTCATCACATTTCTGTAGAAAATTTAAATGATTAATATTTTAATTTAATCTTTTTATAACAAGTATTTTTTTTCTTTTATCTCTTGGTAGATTTACTTACAAGGGTACAATGTCAATGTGCGAGTGATGCCCATCCTGACTGCTGCTGTGCTCCAAATTTCCCCACCAGGAATCATAAACTAAAGCAAACAGTTTTTTTAAATTGTTTTAACACAAATCTAAATAATACAGTTCAATGTCGATCTTTAGTATAAAATGTGCCCTAAATACTTTTAAGTTAAGTCTGCATGGCAAAGCTATACTAATTTTTGACTAACATGGAAATTCAAACTGAACTGGCTTTCCAAAATAAAAGATTTGTTCAGTATAATGGTGGATCATTTATTAACTTTATCAATTAAAGAATTAAAATTGGCACTCACCAGTTTTAGATCATCTCCCAGAGGGCAGTAGACAGATATAGGACTAGAAATAGCAGGTTTTTGATGAAGGTACTAATCTTGATGCTCCATCTGGATGCTTTAAAGGGACTGTAAGGAAGTATGAAGTTTTTATGCTTGCGATCGCCACTCAGGCCTAACGCGTAACTGCAGCTTCAAAAAGTAAGCTCGTGCATGAGGTGTGAACGCTGTACGTGCACACTCCTTAACATAAATAACAGCTGAGACAGTCCCGTGTGTGTGTGGCCCGGAGGACAGAAGAGCACAGCAAATTAATAAAAATAATGTGCCTCTGTCTCTGCAGCTGCACTTTCTTGTCGGCCGGCCTGGAGGACAGAGGACAGGAGAACACGCAGCTAACTAATTAAATAATTTGGTTCTGTACCTTTCTCTTCAGCACAGCCGACAAAGGTTTATGATGGGTCAGTCCTCCTGCATGCTCAGATCATTCCCTTCCCTTGCTTGAAAAATTTTTCCAAAATGAAAGTTGAACCCACATCTTTTTTATCTGTGAATTCAATGCCTTTCGGCGAGTCTCAAATAAAAATTTGGGCGTCTTTTTACTGTAAAAACATTATCATTAATGTAAAAAAGAAACTTCAAATAACAAACTATGTTCACACCCGAAATCATACCCGGGTCTTCGGCATGAGAGTCAGACTTATTACTAGGTGAGCCAAAGCGCCGTTGACATTCATTGTATCTGTAACTTTTATATCCTTGATGACAGCTGAAACGACGTCAATCCAAAGAACAGTTCGGAGCGAAAATGGCTAATTTGTTGCTAATTTGCAGGAAATATCTAGAAGAAAGTTCTACATAAAGTAGCTAAGGGTCCTCAGAAATGTAGCTAGCTTTGTCACTAGGCGTTAGGAACAGTGACACAGTGGCACTGCCTCTCTCTCTGCTGCTAAAGCTACTGATAGCAAATGCTACGGGCTATGCCTGAGCGTGAACACGAATGAAGCAGCCTGCTCGACCCGAGAAGCTCTCTTTTTCTGTGATTTTACAGAAAAACAGGCAATCACAGTAAAAATGCCAGGGCTCATTCTACAGGACCAGGGCATTGCAGGAGAATGTATGAAGAAGACATTTATTATTTCTATATATGTTTTGGCTGTCAAACTTCCTTATAGTCCCTTTAAGGTCAGAAATGGTTTGATAGAAATTCAGGATGAAAGAGGAATTAAAAGGACCTGCAGACCATAGATGGGTGTTTTCTTCACCTCACATTCATTTTGGTTTGCCACATTCATTTGAAGATGGTCCAAATTTGGATGTTAGCTTTCTGAAGCTAAATCTGGTCAAATATAGCTCTTATTGCTCAATGCCTTAAATGACCTTTGGCACCATCTATACTTATATCTCTAGAATTTATATTTGGTCAAAACACATAAATGCGTTCAATTGTTTTTTTTTTTTTTGTTTTTTTTTTTTTTGCTTTGTAAACACAGCGTTGATTCATTTTTACATTCTTTTAATGACTAGTTTCGGCTAACACTGTAGCCTTCCTCAGAGCACCGCGGACGGTGGCTTTACTTCCTGCTCCATTTATCACATAAATGTTTTTTCCCACCTAGACCTTACACTTAAACTAGCTTCACACCCAAGTGATGCCAAAAAAGCTAGAATCGAATAAGAACCAGAACTGATTCCCCTTAAATTAAATTTGAGTATTATTTATTTATTTATTTAATTTGATTAGAAATATGAATAGGACAATTAAATGTACACTTACAGTAGGCACTTCAGGTG